AACGCACCATGTTTAAATATCCTGTAGTCATTTCAAGGCTGTTTTTGTTTTTTTGCTTCTATTGTCAGCGTATAGCACCGCCCCATGGAAAACCTCGGAGGTGCAGACCTTCCTAGGAATCATTGATCTTTGTTTACTGTGTTGCGTTCTTCTTCTTTCTTGAAAGTATTTGTTGTCTACGCTATGTCGCGCCGCTGTGATTTAGTGATATGTATTTGTACGGTCGGTTGTGGAAACGCACGCAAGATCAGGGTTTACTGTACCAAACTGTACTGAACAAAATCTGACCGCTCGGTGGGTCTTAGCGGGACTTCTTTAACAGCAGACATTGTTACACGTCACAGCAGATAAAGCACAGTTAAGACGGCTGCATTCCATTTCAGGGATGTCCTTGTTTCTGTCTGCTGCTCACTGGAATATCTGACGTCAACACTTAATGGAACTGAGCCATAGTTAATGGTTTTATTTTAAATACCGCCATCCTGTTTTGACATGTCTGAATATCTCCCTTCATATTCCGGGGCGGAAAAAAAGCAGGACAGAAACCCATTAGGTCAGTAGGCTGACAGAAATATCCCTCATCATGAACTCATGCTCACTCGACACTTTTAGTATTTTTAAATTCCCTTACATCAGTCGTATCTGAATGTATTTAGGGTGTAACTGTGTTTTAGCTTAGCTCATTTCATTATGCCACTAAGCACATGGGTAAGCTGTAATTTAAATCAAAGCTCACTGTATGTTTGCCCTGATGATTCAAGTGTCCATGAATACATTGTACCATCACTCTATATGAATCATAAAGCAAGTTAGAGCGATGACACAGCTGTGCACTCACACCTCTACTATAGACTTTACATGAGCAGTCGAGATAGCCTCTTTGTTTTAAAGTGAAGCTAACGTAATGTGCTTTAAATCTGTAATATTTCAAATTACCAGCAGGGGGCGACTGAACAGGTCGCAATAGAGATCTTATTCTATCAACCGGATACAAAGAGTCTCCAAGTCTTATTATTTACTTTGTGAAGAGTTTCCTCATGAGCTTATCGTCTTTATTTTCTAGTTTAGAGTCTTTATATATACAAATAAAACCAAATACAGCATGTTGCTCATTCAGTATAGGCATTTTCAACGTGTTATATTTTGAAAAAAATCTCTTTCTGGTGGAGGAGAGGCTTAACCACGAGCCACCATGTCCCAAACAGAGCCAGTGCAGCTCCATGAGAGACGTTCTGACAAATGGTGTGGCGTCACCACGCCGAGCCCCGGCCTGTCTGTTGTGCAGCGGTCAGCGTGTGGAGTACATGTAACAAGCAGTGACACTTCAAAAGTCCAACGTGTGCCACGAGCGATAACAAACTGCCGCAACGTTCACTCTGCAAGCTCGCAGACTCAGCAGCTCCGGATGACAGCGTTTTTTATCTTGCCTCCTTTGCCGAGCCAGCGTCGTCCTCTGGTATCATTTTAAATCTTGCAGAATAAAACATTTCTTGGTTTGCGTCCTCTCTCTGTGCTCCTCGTCCTTCCCTGTCCACAGCTCTTCGGCAGGTGGTATATTTGCATCAGCTGATATGCAGAGACGGCCTGTGTCATGCATTGAGACCTCCTGTAAGCTCCTTTTTTCTGCTTTTTGAAATGGACCATGACCTCCTCTTCTCTCTCTCTCTCTCTCTTCCTTTTTGTCTGTCTCGCTGCATCTCTCATTCCTCCGCTTGCTCCACCGTCCTATCCTTCCTGTCTCTGTGTGTGATGCAGGAGGATAATTCATACTCACCAACAAAGAGCTGACTGAACAGAATCATGGGCCAGAACTCATTTACAGCAAGAATACATTACAGGGAGATAGACATTAGATAGAGAGCATCAGCACTGATCCGCATGGCAGGAGTAAACAGTACGTGTCCAATTGTACAAGGACCACCAAACATTTTTCAAAAATCTACTTGCAAATTGCATCCCATTGGATCAGAGATAGCTGCATGCAGAAATTAACTAGAAGTATGAGGAGGTGTGTTAGAGCTATGTTCTCATATAACATCAAAGGTGTACACTAAATATGTGACAGAAAGGTTCCAAATAGAACAGAACTATTAAATGCTTTAATTTAGTCAGGCGTTTTAAAGGAGTAGTTCAACATTTTGTAAATCATTCAACTTAATTCATATGACATATTTCATACGAACATGCAGCCCAAAGTTCTTCACAAAGTTCTCCCACATAGAAACTGGTAGCACTAATAGCCTAGTGGTTATGTCCCGCGCCCCAGGTACAGAGACTATAGTCCACGTCGCAGTGGCTGTGGGTTCAAATTAGAACCCCCCCCATTCTCTCCTCCCAATATTTAATGTCTCTCTTCAGCTGAACCATGTAATACTTTGGCTAAGGTGTAAAATTCCTCCAAATTGGAAGTAAAAATCTACAATGATTGTTGTTTTTGAGGGAGTTACATGAGACGATTGATACCATCATGTCTGTTTTGTAAACATGAGGGATTTAAAACAATAACAATAAGTTGTGATTATTACCTGTATTTCAATTGTAAATGTTGATTTATCACATTTTTACACCAAATTCCTCCATTATGTTGCTTAAACGTCTGTTCATGTTTCCCTAATCCATGTGATGAGCTCCACAGTAAGGAGTCTTATAGTGAAGACATGATGAGTGGAATTGGCAGTGAACTCTTTAAGAGCTCCCTATATATTTCTTAAATGTTGATATTTGATTCAAGCTGTTTGATTATCAGACGATGTTACGATCTATATTTTGTTCCACCCCTATAAACAACACACGAAGAAAAGTTTAAAGATTTCTTTTGGGGCTTTTTGTTCCTCCACTGAAGAGACAGGACAGTGGAAAGAGTTGGAAATCAGGGAGAGAGCGAGAGAGAGAGAGAGAGAGAGAGTCTGGAATGAGATGAGGAAAAGGAGCGACAGGTCCGAGTTGAACCTGGGCCGCCCGCTTAGAGGACTATAGCCTCCGTACATGGGGCGTGTGCACTAACCACTGGGCCACAACACGCTCAACATTATTCCTGCACGTAATGAAATGATGAAAGGTCATACAGGAAACGTACTCTCACACTGAAACCAACAGATTAATGATTCTGAGAAAAGCCGTCCCTTCTCTTTTTTTCAGATTACCCTGAATCTGTGTGTCTTTCTGCATATTTTTGTTTTGATGTTTGCTAAATATGACAGGAATCATTTTATGCATGAGCTGCACAGTGCTGCTATGATGTCGTTTGGTGGGATGACGTGCGAGTGCGTCTTCCAGTGACAAAAGCAGCAGCTTTGATGGTAACCAGTGCAGCCGTCTTTAGGATCTCAGATCCTCTCTGCTTTATTTCACCACCTCTTCCGACTGGGAAGTGTACACACACACACACACACACACACACACACACACACACACACACATGCACACACACACGCACGCACACACTTGATTCTAAGTCAATGTGTGTGTGGAAAAGTTAGATCCTCCTCCTCTCCTCTCCTGCTTTGCCTAATACGTCCATGAAGGGCCGACATGAGAGTGGCGTTCAGCAGCACAGAGATCAGGGCTATTCTTGTGCCGCCAGCCGGCCCAGTGCTGATAGGAAAGGATTAATGAGGCGGGGCACTCATCACTTGTAATTAGAAACAACGCTAAAAACTATTTTTGTTCCTGTTCCTATGGAGAGATCTTGACCCCTACACACCCCTTCGCTGCCAGCCATGAGGTGGGAGATGCCTGTGAAGAGGAGTAAATATAGGCCCATAACTCCTGCAGCTATGTGACACATGGTTCAATAGAGGGGAGCGCAGATAATTCACAGCTCTGGCTGTGTGCTCCACTGGATGCTAAAATGTCAAGAGGCTGAGAGAGGCTGTCCGTTCAAATTTCCCACTGTTAGGGTTGTTTTGTTGTTATTGATCCTGATGGTTAGAGAGTCTCTGAGCTTCTGTTGTTTCCTGGCTGCCATTAAATCCCATGACAATTATCCTGTGATACCCCCCACACACACCCACCCACCTTTTTTTTTTTTTATCCCTCAGTCTGTTTCTTCCATTTTATTATCAGGAAGTTTTCACACATGTTTTTCTATACTCCATTATCCTTTATAGCTGAGGCAGCTTTTCATGAGGCATATTTTCTTGTTTTTTTTTATTTTTATATATCATGGTGTATCTATTTTTTTACCATTTTGGCACATTTATTGACAACTTGACACACTTGACAAAGGTTCAGAGGGTGATACTTATTTTCGAGTAATAGTTTGTCGCCCTACGCACCGACTTTATGAGAGAGTTGGATGTGCGTACACCTTCTTAAAAAGAGAAATGTATTGACAAAATGATTGATGAGATTAAAACAATAACAGATAAATATTCAGTTATGACAAGCATAGTGAGTTGGAGCTTTTGTCTCTGACCTTCTTTAAGGCAGGACTTTTTTTGTGCTAAAAACTTTACCAGTAGACCCCAGGAAGAATAGCTGAGCTCTCGGGTACAGCTAATGGGGATCCTAACAAATAAACAAATCAATAGAGCATGACTATAATTCCTTCATAGCCGAGTTGTTGTGCAATACGTCCTGTCCTTATGCTCTGTTTCTGGTCACTCTCGACTTCAAAGGGAAATATTTGTTTCACACACTTGACTAGTTGCTAAGTTTGTCGCTCAGGTTATAAACCAATACTTCTTTGTTGCAGAGAGCGGGAAACCAGTCGACAAGCGCTGTAAAGGTGAATCAGAGCAGTGAAGGTTTTCTCCATTATACCACAATGATGAACAAAAATAAAAAAGATATCGCTGAGAAGAACTGCGAGATCTGTGCGTACATAACTACAAGTGGACACTTTCTGATTTCATTGTATTTCACAAGTCCATTGCCAATTTCAAAATAGTGATTATAGCAGCTGCAAAATGTTGAATTCAATTCATTACAAATATTTTTAAAAAGGCAATTTTTACCGTGTCAGATTCGCAAGAAAAGAAACCTCAGAGACGCCAACATAAACTTGAAGCCTCCCTGTTTATTTCAAAGCTCACAAGTAGAGGATTACAAAAATGACAGTGCTTCAATTTGCAACAGTTTCGGGGAGTAGTAGGAGAAGAGTAGGAGAGATGACAGACCAGTTGAGGAATTCTTTTTAGCAAGTCATGCAAAAAAGGTGTGGGAGAAGGCCTCCGTTATTATAGCACCCTTTGTGGAAGAAAAATAAATCCATATGTCCGTAGGTCAGTGCAAAAATAGTAATGAATATATGCATACAAAGAAAATAGATATATATATTTATATACTGTATATATACTTGACTTTGATTACAGACACAGAGAAAGATACAGAGACTTGTAGAGCGAAGCCCATTTTCACCGGAGTCTCAGAGCAGAGACTCTTCAACAAGTCTGGTTGTAAAAAGTGCACATCAAATATGACAGTTTGATAATGTTCAAATACAGAACGGACGCCTGTTGGAGCTGTCGGTTAGGCTATGACCTCTACAGAAAGAGCAGTGTGGGAAAGACAGACAGCACCATAATGGCCAATAGTTCCCCCCCCCACCACCCCCCCATCCCCTTTGAGGGCCAGGAGCACACAGCATGCTTCGTTTTTCAACCAGAGAGCATAATGTACAGTACTACGATTATTACATTGTTAAGATACATACAAAAGCAATGTGCTGCTGATGTAATAGAAACCAGCAGATGGGATGAAAATGGTACATCATTTGTTTGGAACATTGGCTCAAATGGTTAGCACTCTTGATTTCTTTTAGCAAATATAAATGCACAAGCTACAAACGTGTGGTAAATCTTTTCTTTTTCTTTTTTTTTTAAATATACCTTTTGATAATATTTAAAATCTATCGTGGAGCACCAGTAGACACCAATGACGACACTAACAAAAAAAAACAAACAAGTGAGGACTTTTTGCCCCACAAACTTTTTTTTGTTTTTATATAACGTCTTTGTCCGTTCGATCTGTTAGTCATGCTCAAAATGTTTGCAAAAAACGCCTCGTCCAACAGTTTCACGACAGTTTGTTTAAGATGCAACCTGTTTCATTGTTATTTGCATAGCATGAATCTTCACATGAGGGATTTTCAAAAGCTTATTATCATAAATGTTGGTGTTGTAAAGCCTTCCTTTGAGTTCTGGATCCATTATTTTATGAAAGCGTGTCACATCCTCCGTCCTTCTCACGCGTTGAACTGTAGAATATGACAGCTCACAGATGGTGCATTCAGAGGGTTTTCTTTTTGGGAGCATTGACATTTAATGATTTTAGCCCTGTGCTTCCTTTTCTGCTTTTTTTTTTCATGCAAACAATGGAGAACTGAACAGATGATATGAAGCTTTGATAATCCGAAGAGGAAGTGTTACTTGTGAGGAAGCTAATTAAAGTTAGCATCAAAATAATTAAAGAATACTGGATGAAGAGATGTTTCTGCTCATTTCAGATCTGAACGTCATGCTGCTACCTCCAGTTAAAGGATGGCTGCATATGTTTGAAAGTCAAGCAGTCCTTTGGTTCCACAAATGAAAAGTAACGTGTGTGTTGTGTGGGCTACAATAACTCAGCAATTACGGAGCTTCCAAAGAATTGTAAAATGTATTTCCCAACGGTGAAAATTCACTTGAAGCTGCTTCGAGAATTATTTTTTTTGTAAAAGTCGACGACACTTTGTTTCTGCATTTGCTGAGTTGAAACACAGCGGGCAAAAGTAAAGTTTAGGTTGCTGCCAAGAACTGTATAAAGAATGGACAGCACAAGAGCTCCAGAGAAGTGAAGCCAAACCATTTGGATACATGTGAAATCAATTTGTCTCAATCTGTCTTTAAAGTTAGTTCACATTATGCTTATTTTATATGCTTCATAACCGACACATATCTGTGCTGCTGAGGACTGGATACTGGCCCAAGGTAACTCTGTGGTTTTCTTGGTAAGTTAAATGTGCACTTTGGTCGGCAGAAGGAGCTTGGTGTCAATTCCACTAGATCCTTTCTCCGCAAGTCTTGGCTCCAAATGACATCACTAGCGCAAAATAGCGCCCGTTACTGGGATATTTTGGCTTCAATTTTTCTCAGTGGAATGAAATGGAGACAGGATGTCAATATTTATCTACAGTGGTGCTGAAAAACCTTTTATTATTATTATTATTATTATTATTAAATTGTATATATTTTTGTAGTTCACATTATTCCAGTTACTGTCAAGGTAGAAAACTCTAGATCCATCTAGCTGTAAAAGATTTTTTTTTTTTTTTTACTACCCTGATTAAGAAACTCGGGTAAAGCAGGATTTAAGTGGAAAGTGCTGGAGCTTTTTTTTAAAAATGCTCCTGTAGAATGCTAGCTTTTCCACAATAAAACGACAGCTCATGAATTGGGAAAATTATCTAATTGAGCATGTGCGGTGCATTCAACTTTGTCTAAAAGGACAACTACAGTAATAATTGGATTTAAGGCTTCTGGAGAGCACACACATCTGTATGTTTTAGGTGAAATGACCATGCAAAATAGATTTAGTTTCAGTTTAGATTTAGTTCAGTGAAGTCCATGAGAATGAAGGCGTAAATGAGCAGCACAAGCAAATGTCTTCTCTTGATATCAATCTACATGTGTTTGTTGTAATGAGTCAAGTGAGTCAGATGCAACAGGATGAGGGGAAACTGTGTGGACAAACATACACTCTTTATTCTCTCTTTACACTACTATTGAGTGCAGTGTTATTGTACAGTTCACGGTGGTATTCGGAGTCTCCTTCCTGCCACCACGAGATCAGAGTTACATAATGAGTGTGTTTCACCTCAGAGCTTGTTAGCCTCTCTGAATGCAATCTTCTGCAAGTCTGCGTGTGAACGGGAAACAGCAGAAATAGTCTTTGAAACGTGAAATCTGGAACAAAAGGAGCAGGTTGCTTCTGTCTGGGAGTTAAAAATTTGACCTCATTCTGCATCCGTCTGCACGTGATGTTGTAGCATGCGCAGGCCCAGTGGTGACACATGAATTAAGGCATTGATAGAGGCACTGGAGCAGCACGTGACAGCAGCGCTTGCCTTAGCGAGGCAGAGGAGCTCACTAAACTGTAGCTTAGTGTCAGCGACAGGGACTGGCAAAAGATTAGACAAGGGGTCACACTGCTCTACTGTACCACCCTGTGTCACACTGCACTGTGACGCACGGGACGAGCTGAATGTTTGAAGTCTGTACCTCCACTCTGCTACCCTTTGATGGATTAAATTAAAGCTGGAAATGAAGGGCATTGATACAAACATGTAGCTACATAGGGACACAGCAAAGTACATTACAATGAAGCTGTGTCGTGGATGAATGGAGGGGGGGGGGGGGAATTGGGTCAAAAAGAACAAATGCTGCAAAAAAAAACAAACAGGCAGTGAAATTCCTCCATTCAGCAACATCAAAAATCAGCTTTAGCCCTGTTTTTATAATATTCACTGATTATTTTAACGTGTTTTTTTCCTCTGATAGCAGCCATGCATAAAAAAAAAAAAAAAAGAAAGAAAGCTCATGGTTGTCTCGTTACACACATACAGTATATTGCTAATATTGATGTATATGTTGATGCAGGAATGGCAAAACAAAGACACCGGAGCAAACACATAAAATATGAAATGTGTGATTCTGACTGACACAAAGCCAAAAAAGCTGCACTCAAAAAAAAAAAAAAATGAAACCCCATTATTTTTCTGTCTTGTACACATCTGTGCCAAGTATGACACAGCATAACATGAACATATAGAACTGAACAACAGTATCACGCTAACATCAGAATGGCATCTCAGCGAAAAGCTGGAAATGTTTTGTAATCATTACCGATATATACACATAAGATCAAGGTCTCAGTTGCATTTCAGTCAAATTATTGCACAGTAAGCCGCAGCGGGCTTGTCATGGTCATCCCCATATACCCCTGTATAAAAATAGAACAACAACATAAACACACCAAACATGTCTTCATCTTTTCTTTTCTTTTTTCTCTTTTTTTTTTTTTTGACAGGCACTGCCATGGCCAACCCCGCCTGAGTCTGCAAACAGAAACAGTGTGCCACAGTGTGAGCTTTAAGAGTTTCTCCTCTCAGTAATTGCCTCTAAGCACATAGAGTATCTTTTCCAAACTGAATTTTCTTTCCCTCTGCGGTCACAAGTGGAAAGCTTCCAACTGACCGCCTCCCCTCTCTCCATCGCTCTAACTCATCCTCTCCTCCGGGACTACAGCCAGGTCCAAAGAGCGGAGATTTTTTTGGCATTTCTTATCACCACTGACCCAGAGCTTTGCTTCTCCAGGGAGCCCAAGATGAGCGCGAGGAGATTCAAGAAGAATATTCTCCATCACGCCCAAACCAGCTCAAAAGAGCAGTCGAACCTCTCTCAAAAAAGCAGTGAGAGTAAGTCAAAATGTGAGTGTCGATTTGAAGGGTTTCACTTTAGACGACTGTTTCCACACCGATCAGCTTTGGCGTGAGGATTCGTGGCGTTATTCCGTTGTTGAGGTCTTCCTCGAACTCCAGCAGCTGGCCCATGAAGTTGAGGTTTGGGGAGATGATCGGCCTCCTGGTTTTGACGAACTTGTAGGCGTCCGTCATGGTCATCCAGGTGTGCTTCATCAGGTAAGCGATCACAATGGTGGCTGATCGGGACACGCCCGCCTGGCAGTGGATCAGAAGGCCCATACCCGCTTGATGTGCTTCCTCTGCAGAGAGGAAACAAGGAAACAGTCAGAACGCAGTAAAGTGAATGTTAAGTTCCCACAGAGGAAGTTCAGTCATAGATACTCAAACGTAAAAGATTAGTGGTTACCAGGCGTCTATCTACGTCTAGCCAAACAGAACATTTTGCCTGATTATACTTATTTGTGTTGGGACGTTAATATTAACAAGCTTCTTTTATTTTATATCACAAATGAGAAATAGAGACGCCGTTGTTGTGTTAGGAGAAAACAAAGTTGTTATCACGGTATCTCTAACATTCTGACCACGGGCATCATTTTTAAATTACAGATAAAAAGACACAAAAAAAAGATGGAATCAAAAAGCATTGACTGTAAACTTTAAATTTGTAGTAACAATGAACAACCTGAGATTTTGGTACAGTGCTTGAACCTCATAAGAAGGTATTGCGTTGTCTTAAAGGGTCAAAATACATCGAGTTTGGGCGCCACCATGTAAGCCTTCTGCTGTGAGAAGTATCAACTATCACTGTTACAAGTGACCGTTTTCATACCGATGAATTCAAACGCCTCCTCGAAGTACTGCCGCAGGTTCTGCTTGTTGCTGTCTGTGGCGGGGAGGCGCTTGTAGATGAAGAGGCCCGTGTCGTAGTGGTAAAGCGGCAGGTGGGTGGTCACATTGAGGATGTAGCCGATGTTGCAGCGCTGCAGCATGTTGATGTCCTGAGCGTCGTGCTCGTTCCCCAGATAAAGGAAGGGCAGGATGGGTGTCAGGTCTGCGTTCTCTATGTCCGGGGTGGAGGGCAGGGAGTGAGGTAGCGTCCCTGACAGGCCGGCAGCCGCACCGGAGTCCAAGCCCTCGTGAAGGTGCAGCGAGTGCTCACACAGGTTTTCATGGCTCTGCCTGAAGCAGCTAAGGCCGCCTGTGAACACAAAACACAGATTATGATTGAAGCTTGAAGTAAAAAAGTGACAAACAACGTTTTTTAAAATGTGCGTTTTTTCCCCATTCCCATCCGTCGATGCATTTTAGACCCTGTTGATCTCCTTTGATAGGGCATGTAGCTGAGGTGCTAAAACACGACAGCAATACCCAATCATATGACCAAACTTTTAGATTTGGTAGTGATTATAATGTGTCCTTTTGAATATAAAATCAATATAAAGGGATTGGAAGTGTTTCCATTTGCGACAATTGACAGTCGACTCCTTTTAAATGTAAAAATAACTCTTAAGTCAGTTGTTCTCTGGCTAACTGACTGGGAAATCCCCTCTTTTAAAACGCAGGTATATAGATGTATTAAGCTTTTGATGTACTTCTCACTGGACATCTGCACTTCTCCAAATAAACTGGTTTGCACCTGTCGCTGTTAATGCCAAAGTTTCCCTTTAGCAGAGTGGTTGGTAGGGAGGGGTGGAGAGAGTCAGACACACACACACACACACACACACACACACACACACACACACACACACACACACACACACACACACAGTATCAGTTCATGTTCATGTATTGTTCACTTTGCAACAGTTGACATCATGCTATGTGAGGTCATCGCTCAACTTCCCCCTTTGTGAGCAGACAGACAGGTGGGGATCGACTGTCAGACAGTTCCACCATAAAACAGATCGTTCTCCATGAACACATACTGGCTCCACCCTCACTTTAGTGGGTATAGTGGGTGTCATGGTAATAATTACACAAACCCAAAAAGGGAAGTCTTTATAAGCTTTCTGACACACAAAAGTCAAGTAAATGTTCGGGGGAATTCCAGTGGCATTTGGGTAGTTTAAATGTTTTTGATATTCTGAGCTCTGAAGACAAAGCTGAGTCAATTAAGTCTTTTTGATAGACATCTAAAAACTCTATAGTTTAAACATCCAAAACCACCTTCTTCCCGGTCTAAATAAGTATCAATATCACACATAAGCCTTGGTTCTCAGAGATAACTGTACTTAGAAAATCTCATCTAAATATCTAAGTTCCAGTAAATGTGGTTTCCGTTAACGTGAATTCACCAACTTTAAGTCCACTAAACTGAATTACTCTTGAATCTCCAAAGAGATGAGACTGCAGACCCTGATGTTAACTTCTGTGTCATGTCTACTGCCGTTCATTAGGGGAGATAAAGAAAGACCCGTTTCTACTCAAGCTCTCATTGGCTAAAGTAGCCTAGGAAGAGTTCATGGACCGTCTCAAAAGGTGGAATGAGGGGTTGCGAGGTGGGAAAATTAGGAACAGGGGGCATACATTTTGAAGCGATCCATGGATTTTTGCGGATGTAATGTGTTTGGATTAAACTCTCGCCCGTGCACATTACTGTTTTTGTTTGAATATTATGACTGGAAGAGTACAGTTGACCTTCAGATGTAAAAAAAAAAAATGAATCAGTAAGACGTGTTCGTTTGTCTGTAGTCTGACCAATGAAAAGACTGTGGCTGCTGTGTTGGTTGGTTCACGTGGTCGTGATCACAAGAATCATAGCGTTCTAGTGATCCATAGCATGAGTGACAGTTGAACACAGCAGCGGTATTGATGACGGTGATGCCCAGAAAACACACTTACGGCCTGTGGGTCTGTCAGGGGAGATGATAAATCAAAAAAGTTTTTATTAGTAGATTTTCAGCAGACAGGTGTATCATTTAATTTTAGTCATCATGGTTTTTTTTTTTGTTGGTTTTTTCAAGGTTTATTTTTGGGCTTTTTGTGCCTTTATTGGAGAGATAGGACAGTGGATAGAGTTAGAAATCAGGGAGCGAGAGAGCGGGACATGACATGCGGGAAAGTAGCCACAGGTTTGATTTGAACCCGGGCCGCCCGCTTAGAGGACTACAGCCTCCATACATGGGGCGCGCGCACTAACCACTGCGCCACCAGCGCCCCCATCATGGCTTTTTAAGAATTCCAATCTCCTGTCTCCAGCGAAAAGCTGAAATTGTTTTGTTGTTTTTGATAACACTGGTTAACATTATTTTAAACCGGATTAATGGTTAACTGAGTTTAATTTTTGATTATCTGTACCCACCTCCTCTCATACTGTATTTCTAAAATCTGCATTTTAATTTCACTATCATTTTATTGACCTCTACTCTAAGTGAAGAAAGAAGAAAAACGCTGCACGTCCCTCCTGTCTCTATGACAACAGGCTGTTGACAACGGCCGCTGTATGAGCGACACTGCTCCGCTACTTTTTTACCGTGTTTTATAGTTTAGTTTATTTCCCAGACGTGGCGTAAAGATGATGTGGGTACAAGACATGATCCGTAGGCGGCAAAACTTCAAGGAATATTATACATGATGTTAAGAGCGCTGGTGACGTCAACAGCATCTTTCTGAAAAGTTGAAAAGATTGTCAACTTAAGCGCTCAGAGAGGCTGCACAAAAAAAGGCGGACTGCTCGGGAAAAAAAAGAAAAATCTAAGGGTAGTGGATAGCTTTAGCTTCACACACGCCTAGTGAGAAAGTATTGCTTAAAAAACTGAAGTTAACATCTACCTGTTTGTTGGACGCTTAAATTATTATTATTTTTTTTAGCTACAATCAACACAGACTGTTAAATTGCTAAACTAGCCTCACTGTTTTTTCTTAAACTGAAACCAGAGTCTGTCTTTTCAAGTCTCAGCTGTTAACACATTTGATAGTAAACTGAGAATAACAGAGTCTCCAGAAGAAAAAAAAGAAGCACATTGCTGTGAGATGAAATCTGTCAAGTGTGACCGTCATGATCTGAAAGCTGAACACAAAGGAAAACCATCACGTCTGTGAGCCACGGGGCCGAGTTCCTGCTTTGAAACGACAGCTTCTGCCTCAGCTCCCAGCCTCTCGCACCACAGACCCGCTGTTTCCAACACCGCTGCTGACACCTTGTTTATGGCAGTTCTGACGTTTTAAATGTTAACAAGTTACCTCTCTGAGCTGCAGCAGGGGCAGGGAAAGAAACATTGTGTGTTTCCACTGAAGCAACGAGCACATTTCGATAAATCATGACTAAGACATGCTGGTAAATTAATCAGCAGCCATACAGGAATGATCAAAATCTGTCACTATTCCCACACATACTTCAAAATCTGTCATTTTTATCAAACAATGAACAATAATCAACACTAAATTTCCCCCCAAAAATGAAAAGTGAATGAGAATAATGAATTATTACATAACCAGGGCTCTTCTAGTTTGTGCTTAGGGCTGCTTTAGTTCATGTTTTATTAAACCCGAAGAATCGGATTAAGTAAGATGGAATATAGGCTGCAATCAAACATGTAAAAGGGGACACACGGGACATACAAGCCATTCTTGCAATGAGCGAGATGCATGTCTTGCATTTTGCATGCCAGAATGAGTGAGACGCTGTGTGTATTCCTCCCGCTGAGGCGAGCGTCGTACACACAAACACACACGAAACGCTGCAGGATGAGCAGCCTCGTCCATCAAAGCACCCAGGAGGACTAGAGGACCGAGAGCGGAGAAGAGATCAAGGAGCTGTGATCTTACGGCTAGACGTCGACTCGCAGGCATTCATGAAACACTCGCAGCCGAGCCCCTCCCCACACACACACACACACACACATATACACACAGGACACGCTGCTGCTGCTCCAGCTTCAAACACATACACCAAAGATAGCAAACATGGCAGCGACCCAAGGACTGCCATCTCTAAAGGCTGTCTTATTTACTAACAGCTGCTTCTGCAAAATACTTGAAATGTGTCCCGTACAGAGCGGGTGTGGAGTGTGTGGGCGCATATGTTTTCCGTTGCTAATTGTACATCTAATAGTCTGTTAGTTTTTTTTTTGTTTTTTTTATCTATTTCTGTTTCTGTCGCTTCTCTCCAACTTTCTCTGCTCGTCCAGTTGTGGTAGACGGCTCTCCACCAATGAGGTACTTCCTTGCCACTGTGGCAGAGAGCTTCCTCATTGGTGGATACATTTTTGGGACTCTGATAAATGATAATACGGTTATGAGTGTACAGCCTAATCCTGCTCTGTAAAGAAAAGTGCAATGAGTTATGTTTCGTTGTGGTTTGGCACTTTCTAAATGACTTGAGTAAAAGCTGTTGTGTGTGGGGTGATGTTACTGCTGTGAGTCTTTAGTACAAAGCTCAAGGGGGGGGGGGGGGAAACAACAGTTGCTGTGTTTACGGGCAAAATCAGCTGACCATGACAATAAAGTGTTACGTTTAACCAGCTTTAAACGCACACTACATCATCATAACACCACCAAATCTGTTTTATTGGCATAAGCTTCTACCATTACTAAATCTGACTACCATTACTTTGACTGACTACACCGACTGCTTGTTCAAATTTTGAGACTCTTATAATTATACAGTTCTATGTGGCAAGGAAGGACTTCCAATTAACAGGCAGAGACCTCGAGCAGAACCAGACTCATTGGTGGACAACCATCTGCCACTAAATTGAGAATTTAAATGAAAAGGAGAAAAGACGAACAGAGTGACATTTACATTTCACATGTCCTAACTGATTTACTCCGTCTGGCATCAGAGTGAGGTCCATTTAACAATTAAATGGTTTTTTTTATCCACCTTTTACACAACAGAACTGGAATTCCTCTTTCTTCAAAAAGTTCATCCTTTTTGTTTTTAAAGGTACAAATCACAACAAAAGTTATCCCATGGCATTTCATATAATGAGCCAACCTTACTTCACTTCTTTTTCTTTTTTTTTAACAGAGAACACTTTCATTGGCAACAGTAGCAACGGGAAATTTCCTTGTACTGTCACATGCAGAAATCTTGGGCAGAACCAGACTCATTGGTGAACATCCAAACTGTTTAACTCTTTCTGAAATCAAACTAAAAACCATGAAATTGAAGTTCCTATCCCCTTAAAGGCCTGGTTTTTCTCAATCCTTCAAAGATTGAACGAACCCACTTGGATGTTACCTTTAAGGATGATGGGGTCTTTGCCCTCCCTCCTCAGGGACTCCAGAATCACATGCAGCGGCTGAGAAAATGTGAGGCGGTTGGGGTCCGTGGTGCTCTCATCATAAACCACAATCTCTTTGGAGAAGATGCCCTTATAAGAGTCCTTGCCCTCACGGCAGGAGATGAGGTCCAGCACAGTGATCTTGCCTTGCTGCAGCCGCCGCCGGCTGATCTTGTCGGAGCAGTTGATGTGCACGGCCCCCCGAATGTGTCTCTTATTGTACTCCATGAAGGGCCGGCAGTCGATAATGACCGGCACGGGTCCTATGGGGTGTCCCATGGGGCAACAGGTCATCCGTTTAGCCAGCTCATTGGGGTGGATGACCCTAACGGATGCCTTTGGAGTGCCTGGGGCGAGACTGGGGGCGCTTAACGCTTCATGGTTGCTGACCATTGGGGTGGGGGCGCCGGCATAGCTGAGGTTTGGGCTGCTGGCACTCACCTGGCTGTGGCTGAGGCTCGGGCTGTCCTTCTCATAGGTGGTCACAGAGCAGCAGCTGGCACTGCTGCATCCACACGACAACGAGCGCGTGGAGCCCTTGGATGAGGGCATATACGTCACAAGATTGGCCGTCGCCCGAATCTTCACCACGGTGGTGCTGATGACTGTGTCGCTGTTGCTGCTGGAGATGGAGTCCAGGTAGCTGGTGTCCAGGCGCAGTTGGAGTTCCTGAGGTCGGATCGGCCTTGGCAGCGCCACCACAATTCTGTCGTCAAGAGGAGATGGAGGCATGGGGAGGCCGAGGGCTGGACGTTTACGGAGAACTCAACAAGCCGCTCTGTGGGGACGGAGACGAGAAAAAGCATGAGGCGAGGAGGAAATCTTTGCTTCAAAACAGTTATATTCAGTGAGGTTTGCTTCAAGTGATTCAGATCAAGGCTGTGAATGAAAGAGCAGAGAGGACAAAGAGCGACCTCCTGTCTGTTTGATCAACATGCAAACTAGAAAACGGCTGCTGAAGCCAAATATTAGTAGTGTCAACACCTGAGGGGCTACACCCAACATGGTGAGAAAATAAAGGCGTGACAGACAGGCCACTAATAATAAACAGTGAAATCATCACAGTCTGGTGTAACAGAATCACTTGAAGTGTAATCAATATGAATCATCCTCCACATACTGTACACTTTTATGTCTGAGTGTATGTGTGTCAAGGCTATGTGTGTATTTTAGTGTTTGTGTGTGTGTGTGTGTGTGTGTGTGTGTGTGTGTGTGTGTGTGTGTGTGTGTGTGTGTGTGTGTGTGTGTGCTGTTGAATTTTTCATCCCAACTGTGGTCTCTCTGATCCAAAGCTTTTATAACAAGGGAGAGAGAAGAAAAAAAATGATAAAATACTGCATCAGCGCCGCAGTTTGGTCTCTCCCCCAGATGGAAAGTCGGGGTCCAAAAATAAAAATAAATAAATAAATAAACCAACAGAAGGGTGGCAATATCTTTTGATCCGCATTCTGAGCATTTTTGAAAGCATGTCATGCTGGCATGTTATGTAAAGACACCCGCCGAGCATTGCCTGTCCCGGCCATCGCCAATCCTTTTGAGCACGGTGCAGGTTCAGCAGGAATCATTCATGGCCAAATTCATTGAAGAAACCGGCATGGGAACGTGCCGTGAATGTGATATGGCTTTCAGGATGAGACTAACTGATCTGATGAGCTGAAAATTTCAATTTCACACCGGCGAATAAATTAAAAAAATAAAGAATTAATTAATTAAAAATGTAGGGTTTGTAACTTTGTCGCAGCGGGGGGATATAGGCTACAATTTACTGCTGTGTTAAAATTAAAATGATTTATTCCGCACAGTCAAAGAATAAAAGCCTATCGGATAAAATAACATCTCACCAGCTTCAAATGGTTGCAGTTATAACTATAATTTTAGAATAGCATGACTGCTCACTGACTGCATTTAAAACAACTCATGCTTTGGGCACTAATTCCCAAACTTGCCTTTTTTTTTTTTTTTTTTTTTAATTTCTGCTTACCGGTGTGTGTCGCGTGCACCTCAGAGTGGTTTATTAATCTCCGCTCGCGGGCAGCGTTGCCTCCATTCAGTCCGTCCCAGTGTTGTGGAGCGGCAACATTTTTAGTACTTTTACCCTGCTCCCCAGAAATAATATTGAAGGAAGTCTGCCAGCCTACTGAAGTTGCGCAGCGGGATTGACGCGAGCGCGAGCCAATACGCGACTTCATTAATATTAGAGTTGGTCCTTTTTGTACAGTGAGGTCCGGCCCTGCTGGTGGGAGGGGTTTACGCCTCCCACTGTAGAGCCGTACGCCTCTATTGCTAGCGAGGAGGGAGGTTTTTAGAGGGGGGGGGGGGGGGGGGGGGAGGGCTGTCGCTTGAACTGCCTTCAGTCCCACGTACGAGCAGGGATGATGTCACTGGCAACCAATGAAGAGTCTCTCAAGGAGGCTGGAGGAAGAAGACACGGTGCGTTCACGTGTTGCTCGTAAACTCGTAACGTACAGTAAAACAGAGATGCCAATAAGACCAGTAACATAATTTTTTTTTTTTTCTCTACAGTTTTAACGAGATAGATCAAAAGACAGACATAATTCATGTGTTGAACTATGAAGGCCTATTAACTTTTACTGTGTTTGTCTCTATTCTGAAACTTCAGTTATCTTTTCCAGATTCTGTCAAAAGAGAAACTTCACATAATCTAAGATACCAGCCTGGAAATGAATTGACTTTACAGAGCGGACAGCTTCAGCAGAGAGGAATCAGACATTATTTTATTTTATGAGGTGTGTTATTAGAACTTATTCACTCTCAAAGAAGATGCAAACACGTAAAACATCATATACCAACAAGATGGTCTGATTAAACAACACACTGGTTATTGGTGTTTATAGGATATTCATTTATAAAGTATGTCAAAGTACGAAAAACACCTAACTCTATTATAATGATGTGTTTTTGAGATACCCTGAAAAAGAAAGAATACTAGAATAAAAGAAACAGGCAAACAATTGAAAGCAAAAGTTTAACACACTAGTCTGTATGCACACACCTGTTTCTTCATTTTGATGTATTTTACTTCCTTTATTTTTAGATTTCTTATCTAATGTTTCTGGTTAAGTTTGACTGGTGATTTTTTGGAAGGCCTGCTGATCTTGATGTGCGATTGCATCCATTTTTTTTGGAGTAAACAAACAACTCTACAGCGGCATGTCTCCCGGTATTGTTGCTCTAGGATTTGGTCATTCATCAGGTGACAGTCACAGCTCCAGTCATGGGTAAGAGGATGGCCATTGTATTCATCTATGTTTGGTCAATCTTGTCTTTGTTAACATGACCCTGATATGACCCATTCCACCTGAAGGCAGTCTCAGTAAATGGTTAAGGCAGCATATGATTCATTCCAGCCTAAATATTATACTGCTGTAATATTAGGCTTTTCAAACCTGTAATGTATGAAATACACCCAACAAAACCAGTTAATGTTATTAATCACTCAACTATTTTAAAAAGGAAAAATACCCAGTGTGGCGGCTGTGTTCATGTGATTAAGTTTGATAACTAAAGAATCTGCTGAACTCACTCAGACCAATGTTTGGATTTGTTTTATTTGACCTGAGTCACACGTGTCTGACAGACTGCAGGAGGTTGTGGCATCATATCCTTCCTTACTTATTTAAAGAACAACAATTAACCTTTTGACCAATTATAACTAATTGTAAAGGCAACATAATGAAAGACTACAGACCTCATAGTGAACATGGTGTCCTGTTTGTGTTAGACAGCAACATTGACCTGGGTGTGAGACAGAAAGGTAACATCATTTGTGGTAATAAGTGGGTGTCTTTGGCAGGAGTCACCATTAATCGACTGCCAAGTTGGCTGGCTGTTCCCATATGACAGCAGCCATGTTGCGGTGAAAAGGTCTCACTGGCTTCAAACCCCCAAATATAATCGGAGCTCTCTATCCTCACTGGCAGCCTGAAACAATGCAGGGCATGTATTATTGCTGCTATTATTAGCCCACTGTACAGTTATTTATAAATGGACACAGCTGATCAAAGCCTATTCAGATCAGATTCAGAGCGACTCCTGTTTCACTTGTGATAAAGGTGAACGAGAACACTGTGCTTTAAACAAGTTTGTTTGTTCATAATCCAAGACACAAAATCGGAATATATCTTTAATGCACTGTTTTTGTGTGCTTTGCTGAAGCCTTATTGCATTTGCAAATGAGGTTATGCTTTTTAGTGCCAATCGTTTGTCTGTCAGTGAGATTTCAGAAAAATCAAAGACCCAATGTTTTGATGAACGTTGGTGGACGTTGGTATAGATTAGAGACTCACAAACGACATTAACCCAATTGTATCACCTGTGCTGTGGCCTCGGCTGAGGTCAGTGCTGTTCGAAGGCGCTTTTAGAAGTTTTGTCCAGATTATGCAAATGTATGCAGATTTATTTTTCTTAAAAAAAACAACTAAATTATACATTTGAATAGGCAGGTTTTGTCCTGTGTAAAGCAGGTCACCACTCTGCAGTGAAAACATGTACAGTAAACAAATAAGGAGGTAATACATTGTCGGTGGAAAAAGTGGTTAAAATCAAACAAGCTAATTTATTCACTAAAATTATTTATTTTTAACATTATGCTTCTTTGCACTTATTCTCCGTCACATTTTAGAGGACTAAAAAATGTCACTGAATCCTTCTGGGGTTAAAGCTCCTGTGAGGGACTTTTGGTTTATGTCATTTTTGGCGCCCGCTGTGGACAAAGCGACACCTCCTATCTCTTACCTGATCTTTTGCTCTGTTTCCCCTTTTCTTACACTTCCGCATGTCAGTGATCCATACAATAATACATTGTAAAAATTATTATTATTAAAAAAAATTAGATTGTTGAATCTTTACTTACAACAATCTTCTTTCACCATTCAACGTCCGTTTGATTATCTGATAAATGCTTATAAAATGTTTTGTCACACAAGAGAAGGGCACTTCAAGTTCGAGAGGAATCCTTTTCACAGAACAGCGATGACTGTGAGCTATAAGATTTGGTAACAGAGATGTTGACATTGTTAGAATGTCATCTGGCATAAGAGAGGCATCAGGTACAGCAATAGAGAGGAAAGGACAGTAATAACTTGAGTGATAGTTTAGGTGTTGTTTTACAGTTTGTCGTTATGGGTGAAATACTTTTTAAATAAGAAGCAGGTGTTTTTCTAACAGACCTGTTGGCAGTTTAAACACTGGATGCAGCGTGACCCGACCAGTTATGTAAATTCAACCAGTTCTCCCTGTGTGTCTCGTTTTCATTTGGCCAAATGTTTGTCAAGCTGACATCATAATTATTTCTCCTTCTGGTGTCAGAATTATAAGATCCACATGTGGCTTACCACAGAACGATTACCAAGAACTAAGTCTGCTCTGTGTGGACGATCAGATCAGATGTTCTGATCAGGGATGTGACATGTTAGTGATGATGAAATGTATTAAGATGCTAACACGTTACCTGGAAGTAATGCTGCTTCCTTGAAGCACTCGGTGCTAACTCAACTGTAAAGAAAACATTTCTGAAGAAGAACATCCTAATTCCAACTTCATATTCTAGACAGTATGTCCGAATTATTGTCGTTAATTTTTCTGTACCTGTTTTTTGTGAAATGAAACGACTGCCTGAATTATTTTCACAGTGTGGATACATTGTTTGATACGTGTAGGAAGTGCTAAATTTATATTCAGCCCAATAAGTTTTTGGATCAGGTTCAAGAAAAGGTGGGTGTACAAAATGTGTGGTAAGGTTTAGGCCCAAAAAACACTTTGGATAAAGTCAGTGTTTAAAGAAGTACTCACATCTTTAATTTAAGTGTTAGAACTGTATAGGATGTCCCAGGGATGAAGATGGCCTAGCGGTTCGCTTGCGCCCCATGTACAGAGGTAAAGGCTCTCCAAGCAGACGGCCCGGATTTAAGTCTGACCTGTGGCTCCTTTCCTGCATGTCATTCCCCACTCTCTTTCCGATTTCCCCATCTATCCACCGTCCAGCAAATAAAGGCAAAAATAATTATTTAAAAAAAGAAAGAAAGAAAGAAAAAAGAAATCCTCTGTTACAGTGAAACATCCTGCATTGAAAATGTTATTTCAGAAAATCTAGGGAGATATGCGCATCAAATTGTATGTAATGTACTAAATTAAATATAAATGCTGATTAATATAGAGTATATTGATTTAATATAAATATTAAGTCATTAGGGGAGCCGGTAACCTAATGTACAGAGGCTGTAGTCCTCAAAGTGGGCGGCCTTGGTTCAAATTAGACCTTTGGCTCCTTTCCTCCATGTCATCCCCCTCTCTCTCTCTCTCTCTCTCTCTGATTTCCAACTCTATCCACTTTGCTATCTCTAAACTAAAGGCATAAAAAGCCTCAATATAAACTTTAAAAAAATATATAAATATTGAGTCATGAATGTGTTCATCACTTCAATGTGTCAGCGTGAAAATGTGGAGCTCTTTTATTTTTTTTTAATCTACACCCCTGTAACTAAATCACCTTTGTGTGTTATTTTATATTGTTAGTCTGTGATGTAAAGCTGTCAAATTGATTTGGTGAAGTTGAAGTATACAGAAGCAGAAATACTACAGTCCAGTAATATGACTTGAAACATGAATACCAACAAAATGGACACGAGTGTGCAGTGTGGACTTGAAAGTGTAGCGTTTGAGACGGTGAGACATTGGAGAAATGCTTATTGAGGTAATTAATCAAGTGAGAAATAGGGTCATTTCTCATAGACTGCTACATCTTACAAGGAACTGGTCCAATCTAATTCTAATGTAATCTATAAACCATTTTCTTTTCTTTTTTTTTGTTGCAACCATCGGAGTCGCCCCCTCATTGTTGTTAGAAATAAATAAGTTTAAGAGGACATATTATCCACCTTTTCCAATTTTTTTAAAACAGTCTCCTGAGGTCTAAATTAAACTTCTGTGCTGTGCTTTGGTCAAAATAAAACATGAATCAAGCACCAGAGGAGGTTTGTGACTCTGTATAAACCAGCTCTCTCAGAATGCTCTGTTTTGGTGTGTGTCTCTTTAAATGCAATGAGCCCCCCCCCCACCGAGTTTTCCCAATAGACATCAATCCTCTGTAGCAAGATTAAAAAAGTTTTTCTCCTAGGCTGGGGTGGAGTCCATGGGTGGAGATATCAGGGGAGGGGAGGGGATTATTTTACC